TGCACATTCTTCTGGACTTGGAGACGTTGATAAACGTTTATTAGATTGTGAAGATGAAAATTATTGACTTGGAGAAAATGTTTTTGCCTTGTTTAGGTTTCATTGCCGAATATACACGTGTAGGCCACTCTCCTAGCAGGCCAGTTTGAAATGCTTTATAATGTACCGAGAGTACGGTCGCAGGTCTCGCAGCGAACCCAAGTACTGTAGTTTTCGAAAAATTCCGGTCCTACACTTAGTGGCTTATCCCCCGCCGCTGCACTCGCCATCCCCGCCAAATTGCAGTGTTACAAACTGTACACTTTTTAACGCCCCTAATTGTCCCCGGATTTTACATTATCTGCTCAGCTTGTTCAAAAACGTTTCCAAGTGATGTGCGAGGTGAGCTCAACTTTTCTTTGTCTGATTATGGATAAGCCACTAAGTGTAGGACCGGAATTTTTCGAAAACTACAGTACTTGGCTTCGTTGCGGGACCTGCGACCGTACTCCGGCACATTATAAGGCATTTCAAACTGGCCTAATTTCGAGTGCGCATTCTTCTGGACTTGGAGAAGTTGATAAACGTTTATTAGATTGTGAAGATGAAAATTGACTTGGACAAAATGTTTTTGCGTTGTTTAGGTTTCACTGCTGAATATATACGCGCAGGCCAATTTTCTACGAGACCAGCTAAGGGTGTTATGTGAGCACTTCATCAGAAGCTTGAGCTTACTCACGGTATGCAGGAGGAAATACTGTATGCTTCCGAAACCGCACACAATTCTACAATTGATAGTTTTTGATTGCTCCACTCAAAGATGCAGTCCTAAGGCTAGGGTTCGTACTCAGTTTGCTATGAGGTCGAGCAGTTTCTATCTTGTTGCTTCGTATGGAAATCTAGATTAACTCCTGAAAAAAGGAAATGAGTACACGGATACACCACCGTTCATACCACGAGGAATCAGAGCAGGACCGTAAAATATTCGCATATTTGAAAGCATTTACTGCTAGCACCTTGTGAGCCTCTGCTTAATAAAATATCAGTACTTTTAAAATACCAGTTTTTATAGTACTTTTGATCAAGTTGATCTTAAACCATTCCAAAAGTTCTTTTTCCTGTAGCATGTAGGAATGATATGCTAACTTATCAGACATTGTAACACTGAACCCTACAAAAAGGCAGAGACTGTTTTGATCCATAGCATGATCCTCTTTTTGACAAATGTCTACCTTCCGTTCTCTCTGAATCGAAAAGAAGCGCCTGTAAATTTAGGCCAGCATGGAATGCCGGCAATGTGCCACAAGAGTACGGTAGCTGGTCCTGCAACGAAGCTAAGTACGGTAGTTTTTCGAAAAATTCCGGTCCTACACTTAGTGGCTTATTAACAGTGGCAAGGAGTATGCGTCATCCAAGGGGACGACAGAGTTCCGCAGAGGAATTCTCACGGTCATAGAAAAACATGATTAATCTCAATCATTTGAAAACACTGACAAGCTTGCATATTTATTCCGAAGCGAACAGTCTTGGTATTTGGTACCTCAGGAAGGGTTTGGGTTTAGCTGTTCACTGATCTCTTGCTGCAATTTCTGCTGAAGCTTCGGATCTTCTAGATCTTGCTCGCCAAGATCAACCGAAACGTTTCCATCGATGTAGCCAAAATCAACGACAATTTCTCCCGGTTGCTGGAATGGTCCACATGACGAAATTATGGCCTGTCAGAGCAGAAGAACTTCAAAAAAATTCCCTTCCAAACACTAATTAAGTAAATTGAAAAAAGATAGGTAATCCAAACCACATTGCCGTTAGCTTATTCTGGCACCATCCTCTAGATGAATACCACCAGGTAGGAGTCGGTTTGAGTACGCGACAAAATCCTTCCCACACTTCGGAAGTGGAGAGCGCATGCCAGTTACAATAGCGCTTATTTGCGAAGAGTTGCCCAGGGTTATAAGTTCAGTAGAAGAGGCGGTATAAGCACACGCCAGAGGTTGTGTGTGGAACCAAATCGTCTCCGTAAACGCACACAACTGGGCGTACAGTAAGCCGGCATGGTTGCCTGAGTTTCACCCCGTGCTCCGATATGAAGCCAGGAAGCGAGAGCGCCGCTAGCTTCGCTTTCTACGTGGCTGCCTAGGCCGTAAAGGAGCTGTGCAGTGTGCAGTCACTCTCCGACGCCAGCAGTTTTGCGCGCAGTTCGGGGTAATGTATACCACCACTCTCCTGACACTATAGTTTACCGATAGTTGCTGGTCTGACCAGCAAGTATAAAATATTGTTTGTCACTTGTGTGCCGTCCGCGCTCTCTTACATACACGTGTCTGCATCTCTAGTTGAACCAGCAGTTGCCATCACAACTGCACTCCCAACCGAGAGAAGACGCGCCTTTCCCATCTCCAGGAAACAGAAGAAGTGTGTGTGGCAGGAACTGTATGTTTTATTGTCACGATGCTCAGAACGAGCGAAAAGTCTACGTGGAGGTAGAATATCTCAATCCACTGGATGGAACACCATGATTTTTTTCGGGAAATAAAAAATATTAGTAAACTGCAACCAACACACTTACACAGAAGTAACACATACGCAAGATTACCCGGATGGATGATTTCACGTAACCCTACGGATGCGCGAACCGTGCGCTGGAATCAGTGCGAGGTTCACTGGATTATTTCCGCCTCCCAGGTACCCTTGTTGGCTGCACACGATGGAGGATCTCAGGCGGTATGGGTTTGGCGAGGCTCCGGCCCGTCTCTTTTTTTCCTTACGACAAGCGATAGACTGTATCATAACATTCGTATCAGTCACAGGGTACAGCTCGTTGTGTGCGAATAGGGGGTAGTTTTCCGCTGGGAACGGGAAGTCGTATTCGGTCGCTGGGAGAGAGGGGGGAGGGTCGTACGTGCGTTTGAGAGAAATTTGGCACGTTTGGAAAAATTTTCTTCCTGACTGTTGACTGTTTATCCTGTTGACTGTTTTATCCTGTTTTATGTGTACTATATAGCCCGCTTCCCCCCCCCCCTTGACAAAGGGGATGTGATATTCAGTTTCAGTGAGACATATAGTAACTAGTTAACAATAAATGTACAGAAACATACTCCATTGCATTTATGCTTGATGACGAGGTACGGATCGATATGAAGCCATTCCTTTTCCGCTCCTTTAAGCCGGAAAAAGTCGAAAGGTGCCACATTGATCTCTCCAAGCAGGTCGTCTCCTGTTATCACTGAAAGGAGATGATGCTCAGTATAGTAAGAAAGAGTAAGTGAGGAATAAGATCGACTCACTGTCGCGTTCCCAAAGTTCGACATGCACATCATGTTGATCATCATTATCACATAGAAAAGTTCCCCGCACATCCACCGTGATTTTGCTTGCGCTGACGAGTGCAATAGGGAGCAAACCGGGTATGAACATCCCTCAGGTTGCTATTTCGTTGCAAAACTGTCAAACAGCTAAATTGTTAGAGTCAATAGAATCGAATCACTGAATCCAGAATAGTCATAGTGCAACTCAATCGACTAACAAAGTGTTCAGAAGTCGGGACGTGTTACCAATGCTGCAACGGACTAGAAGAGATACCTAGAAGTGTTTTCTGGAGGATGAAGAGCTCTTTCAAAGACTAACAGAGAATTGAATAGAAAAAAACTACCAAGAAAAACAAGAAAAAACAAATTAAAGTGCGAAAATCATTGAAAACTCATTATGAATTCATTTGGAAGGTACTCCTGCGAGAGTAAAGAGAATCAGGAATGTACTGGACAGAAAACAAAGAGCGTACTTTAAATACCAGTAGCCCGAAAATGTTTAAACTGACTAAGACTGCATTAGTTGAGAACAGACAAAATATAAGTTCCTGAAACATGACATTTTTCGACAATTCTTCGTCATCGTTGATCCATTGCTAGGGATGTAGGCACTATACAGGGGGGGGGGCCAAAAAAAGTCACTTCGACCGAGTCACATATCAGCAAAGTTTTCGCAGCCCAGAGAGAAGACGTGGATACGAGTACCAGGGCGGAAGATACCCAAGATGTTCCTCGATAAGCAGGAGCTGGCCCTCGCCCATCACCTTCATGTACACCAAAATATGAAGTCATCTCCAGTCGCAGCCTGACTGGAGAAGACCTTTGGAATTCATGTCACCTCCAAACAGCTGCGAAACTTCTAGTGTGGAGTCACCCATGGGTAGCTACCTGGAGACCAGTACTCTCAATCTGGAAGACCTCCAACATCGAGCAGCTCCGACAACGTCGCTAGGACATCATCTTCACCGCAGTCGCCAAGGCGCGGGTTGATGGTATGGACCGGACGTACCTGGAATGGAAAGACCAATATTTTCTTCGTGGACCCCGGACTGAAGGTGAGCGCTGGCGGTTACATCGAGCAACTCGAGAAGAATCCTCCCCACATGTCGTCGCCCGTACCTTCTTGGAAACTTTGTACTGCTACAACATTGGGTGCCACCACATGGAATCGAAGGGTGTTGGAGAAACACTCGCCTACATGGAATAGAAGGGGGCTGAGTACCTAAAGAAGATGGTATATCCAAGAGGTACCTGACCTGAACCCCTCACTTACCCGGTTCGGGCGGAGTTCAATAGGGTGGTCTACGGTGGCGGAGAAATCGACTATCTCACTGATCTCAGGCACCACATCGCGGTCGCGTGCCGGAAACTCCCGATGTCCCTCGTCCAAAAGGCTGTGGCGGGGTTTTACAATAGTATTCAATATGCTCTTCAATATGATGGTAGAAATGTCCGATTAGAATCTATAAAGTGTAACTTATAGCGCCACGAAAGCCAATCAAAAAAGTAACTTTTTTTGCCCCCCCCCTCCGTACTTATTATATTCCTTTGTTTTAATCTCTTGCATACTTATTCGCCTCCGTTTTGTTATTGGCCTGTTGTGTCGAAAATTGTATGCCTGTCTCAGCTCTTTTAGTACTTCCTTCCTTCTAGGATCTCATTAGGTCCCATGATTTCTGCGTGTCCGCAGTTGCACTCGAAGTCCCTGAGATGCGGTAGGCTTGGCTGCGTACTCAAAATGGACGTGGGTGAGGCTGTGCTTTTGATATGATCTTTTCACTTAGAGACAATTGTGGCCATGTGTTTGTCTAACACAGAACACGTCTCAAGCTGAAATTTTCCGCGGGAGCCCATCCTATGCCGTAGGGCAAACATAACCCTACTCCGTCTCAGGAATTAGGAGTGTGTGCACTGTCCTTATTCCTAAGACGGAGTAGGCGTGGCCTACTTGGCATATTAGTGGCTACTCGTGGTTTTAATTTGAGACAACTGTCATCATGTTCCTTGCCGTGTTGGTCAAAGACGTAAACTGTTCCAAAACGAAATATCGCACGAAAATTAGCCGCCACCTCCTTCAAGTACGCAGCTACGTCTACTGCATGACAGGAATTTTGAGTATACTGAATATACCGCAGCCCACAAATTCTGATAAACCTCCATTATCCGAAAAACTAGCTCATCCCCCAAGTCATACGAGAAAGACGGGGACATCTCGAAAGGAGGACAGTAGGACAATATGAAACTGTGAGCGGCCTTCTCAGCAATATTTGACCGCGTCACTGGGACGTAGAATCATTACCAGCACGACCGGAATACGAGCTCGTACTCATGTCATCCAGGCACGGCACAGTATGTTACTCGATTTATCCGTATCGTTCGTACTCTGCTAAATCCTACTATATATAAACGGCAACGTCTGTCTGTCTGTTTGTCTGTTTGTCTGTTTGTCTGTTTGTCTGTCTGCCCGGAAATTCGGAATCACCTGAAGAACCAGTTGGAGGGGGCGGGTCAAGGGTGGGTTGGGTAGGGCATGGGTCAAGATGTACGGAACACACATGAACTGAGCTAAGCCCCGCCCACTGTGGGCGGGGCATGCGCACGGTTGTGAGCTTAATAGTTCAAAAATTCGTAGTTCGGTTCTAGAAGATCCCGGAGAGCGGAAATTGTGGGAAACGATAAGCAGTCAGTTGGCGGATGAAATGAGGGAGTCACACCCATGATGGGCGAGGCGTGCTATAGGTGGGTGGTGCTCGACTACAAAACTTTTAAAAATCGTAGTTCGGTTCTAGAAGATCTCGGAGAGCTGAAATTGTGTGAAACGNTAGGCAAACAGTTGGCGGATGAAGATGGAGGGAGTCACACCGTGATGGGCGAGGTCGTGCTATAGGTGGGCGGTGCTCGCTACAGAACTTTCAAAAAATTCGTAATTCGGTTCCTAGAAGATCCGGAGAGCGGAACTGTGTGGATGACGATAAGCAGTCAGTTGGGCGGATGAAATGAGGGAGTCACAGCCCGATGATGGGCGCGAGGGACGATGCTATAGGGTGGGCGGCTGCTCGCATAGCAGAACTTTCAAAAATTCGTAGTTCGGTTCCAAGAAGATCGCCGGAGAGCGGAAATTGTGGGAAACGCTAGGCAAACAGTTGGCGGACGGACATGAATGAAGACACCCCGATGGGCAGGGGCGTTCGCCGAACGTGAAGAGGTGCGGGGAGAAACCTCAAAACATATCCGAAAAACCCAGGAAATGGGAAGTAGGTGCAGCTGAGGCATGGTTGGGCGATGAAGTTAGTTAGGAATAACCGTGGGAGTATACAAGATTATACCAAATGATTGGTGCTATTTATTTCTGTGCTTCCTCAATCACAGTGAGCAGGATGGGTAATAGAGAATTTTTTGCATGTCTTCTTGTCTTCTAGGGGGGGAGGGTCGATTTTTTTGCGAACCATTCGGCCGGCGCCATCCGAGCTGGCCCTCCTCTCATGGAGAACTTCTCAGCCGGGACCCCTTCACCCGCACTTCACACCCGGAAGGAGGGTCGCGAGGCCGCCGATCCGACTGGCTCTCCCCTCTACCATGAAAACTTTCACGCTGGGAGAGGACCCACATTCACACCACACATTTCAACACCCGGAAGGGAGGATCGGCCGAGCTTCGCCGGCCGATGCGACTGGTTTCACAATGTATATATGCGCGAACAAATTATATAGTTATAATCTAGAAGAAATTGTTTGAAATCTCTCTGAGCGAAAGGTTTTTTTCCAGAGGTTTGGCCGAGAATACTACCATGAAACAACGCGATAAGTACCTTTACGTCTATCCGTCCCTATTTAGAGTAGGCCTTACTAATCACTCCTATGCCAGTAGTTGGCAACGATACTGTGGCTGATGCATCTTGTCGGGAAGACTCTCCCCTCCCCCAAGCAAGTCTCCCAATGAAAATTGCCTCACCCGTCAAGGGACAAATTATGAGTCACAGCGCACAAACACAGAATGTCATGCGACTCCATCGATGCGGGTTCTCACTTCGGTTGACAACTCCAATTGAGATACTCGGTTAGTGTCGCTCGGAATGGAGATAGACTGTTAAGTTGTGCCGAATGGTTCTTGGCATATGCAAAAGCGGTCTCCATTCCTATGCCTCCGCGCTGGAAAATTGTGACCAGAATCGTTCCTTCATAGGCCTGGTTTTAAGGGGCGGTTACGTTCGATGAAATGGGTCATGGTGCGCCTTAGCTTGAGGTTTATCATAGGCAATTCACAAGTCATTATTGGGCGCCGAAAGCACATGCGCAGATATCGCGGAGTAGACCCTTAAAAGCAGTGCCACGATAATTTGGTACTCAGGGGAGAGGAGCGCCTGGCCTAAAGATTGGCTGGCAGAGTGCCGATATAGTGCGGAAAAATGGGAGAAAACGAAGTGAAAAAAACCGAAGTGAAAATCTGCGAAGCAACGACTTCTTCTTAAAAAGCGATTTCGGACGAGTTTCCGCGTAGCATATAGTCATAACCGTGCTACGGGTATGTACACGGTACGATGTATGTGTCTCATAGCAGGGGGGGGGGCCAAGAAAAAAGTCAATTTCGGCCGAGCCACATATCAACGAAGTTTTGCGCAGCCCAGACGGGGAGTGGATATGAGTACCAGGCGTGGAGATACCCAAAGAATCTTCCTCTATAGCTGAGCACGCTGCCGTCAATCGCCTTCATGTACGCCAAATATGAATCATCTCCAAGTCGCAGGCCTGATGGAGACACCTTTAGAATTAACGTCCGCCTCCGAACAGCTGCGAAACTTCTTAAATGAAGTCATCCACAGATTAGCTAGCTGTGAGGTAGTACTCCTTGATCTGCAAGACCTCCGACACAATAGCGGCCAGGGCTACGGCAGACGTTCGGGCTACGGTCTAGACATCATCTTCACCGTAATTCGCTGAGCGCCGAGTTTGATGGTATGGCCGGGATTAACCTGGAAAGGGAAGACGCGATATTTTCTTTGTAGACTCGACTGAAGGTGAGCGCTGGCGTTATATCAAGCAGACTCGGAAAAGCTAATATCGCTCGGGCCACATGTTGTCGTCGTATCCTTTGGGACGTGTATGCTGCCTACGGAGGTTTTGTTGCCAGAAGAGCGCGATCATGAACAGTTACGGTAAGAGGTATTTGGGGTAAAAAGCTAGCATCGTCGTACTTGTACGAGATGAAAGAAGGCGCGGTTCGTACCGTGCGAAGAGAGAGAGATGCAATAAAGTGAAGTATGTCCTGGACGCGGAGATGGCCTGAATCCCCTCAATACTGGTTCGAGCGGAGTTGATAGGGTGGTCTACGGGTGGCGGAGAAATGACTACCGCTCAGCTCCGGGTACCCACGCCACTTTCGCGCGGCCGAAATCTCTCATGATATGCTCCTGACAGGAAGGCTGCTGGCGGGCTATAATTATTGTATCTGACAAGTGCTCTTCTAATATGGATAGTAAAATGTCCGAATAAAATTTAACAAAGTGTAACTTATAGCGCCTTGAAGTGCATGGAGGAATAATGACCTTTTTTTGGCCCCCCCCCCTGTATATCCATGCAGCACCGCAGCCGCTTCACACCAACGCCTTCGCTTCATAATTTAGTTATCGAATGAAGGAATACGAGCATCAGGTACGGGCGTTCATTAGTGGGCGGGCGGGCGCGGTGGGTGTTCGGGTCGGTATGTGGTAGCTTAGGTGGGCTTTATAGGGGTACCTTTCTTGGAGAAGGCGCTACGCAGCGCCTGCTCAGGGTCGCGGAATTCCGTCCTACCAGGCGTATTAACCGTAGTCGTCTTTACGGATTTATCATGCCAACTGCCTTTAAGTTACAATTAATTACCAGAAGAATAGGAACAGCAAGCTCAGGTATGCGAGACGGTAAACCCGCTATTGCAATTATGGACAGTGGCGTTCAGTTACAAAATATAATCGTCAAATGATTTTCCGAGGAGGAACAATGCAAAAACTCGTGAAGTACACAATATGGACCTGGCAGCCTCTCTGAACGAATTCTCGATACCTGCTCGTGTTATGACATCAAAGCGGCATCCTGCCGACACTCGCACACTAATCGTCTCTTCGCGTCAACCAGTACAAAAACCACCTAACTTTGAAAAAATAGAAAAATGCGGTGTAAAACTTGTGGCAGAGAATAGTCCTGTAGTTTCGCAGGGCGGGGCAACTGGGTAGGCGTCAGAAGTGCTGCCTATGGGGAGTCGTGCAAGTCTCGGGATAGGCCAGGTCGCCGTCAACCCGCAAGCGGTATATCTCACCGTGGGGATGATAAGCATGTGTAATAAATTTAATATGATAGCTCAGTATCGTTTAACTCGACTTTCTTTCCAAACCACTGCGTCTTAGTGGGTCCTAATAGCCCAAACAAAATTTTGAATGGACAGCTGAGGAAATTTGAATTTCCACAAAACAAGGTTCTCGAAATGTCCCACTGTACCGTCTACTAGATAACACGCTTCCATACAGCTTTCCCTGAGTGCAATATCAACCCATCAGAGGACCCTGTCTGGATTCCTCTTCCTCTTCAAAGGCAAAGGGCACGATCGCTGAGGCGGGTGGTGTCTGTCAAGATAACTGGTGAAGGGCTGCAAATGGGCGTTCTTCCATACCCCACTATACTCTTCCAGCAATGATGTTTTCCGTAATCGTCTGCCTCTGACCATCGTGCCCGTCTGCATTGAAAGAGAGTTAAAAGAAAACCTTCAATCAGTACCACAGTCGTTTCATGAGATGCTTTTATTCTTGCAATCATTCATTCATTTACCACATGCCAGGGAAGTAAGCATTCCGAGAATCAAGCGGCTCTGAGCGGACGTAGTTCTTCTGCAATGTTTTCTCTAGTTTCGCATCTTCCAGATTCACGTCTTCCAGTAAAAACAATGTGTCCGCCTTCACGTGCCCCAAATACACGACGACTTCGTCATTAGCCTGAAACACTTACTCTGACTTTAAGCTATATGGAAATCTAGAATGTTCCCAAAAACCCAATGGTAAAGGTCCTTGGCCAACGAGAGAATCACTTAGAGGCAGCGCCCACGTTCATTTGATGTTCCCGCGCATTCTGTGAATATCATAGCCCTCCCTATGAGGATGGAGTATGTTCTAGTTTTGCGTCCCAAAAAAGGCGAGAGGATAGCAGCACCGTTCGTTAGTGAAGAGTCGGCCGCCCTCTCACCTGGCCAGCATAGGGGTTTTATATAGGGCATTTTCTATGTTTTTTTGCTTTTTTCTTCGCTGCTGGACCACTTATTATTTGTAGTGCATAAATCATTATTCTTGATGAAGGGGCTCAGCCTTTAAAGGCTAAACCAAAAGAGTTATGGCCAGGTGTGCCGGGCGGCACCCACTTCACAAGCGGGTGGCGCCATCCTCTCGTATTTTTGAGCTGCGAAATTACTACATCCTCCACCCTTGTCGACAAAGCTACGATATCTGAGGAGGGCGTAGGAACATGAAATGAACGTCGGCGCTGCGTTCCACTTGGAGGTGTACCGTAAATGTATGAGGCAGCGCCTGGTCCTGAAAGAGGGGTTTTTTTTGCCAGCCCGACCCTCATGTGATTAGTTAATTAGATTAGTTGAAACATAATAAACTCCAAGACGGTTCTACTTCAGAATATCCAGGGTGCGGAAGAGCGTACAGAAGGGCAGCTGGTTGAGTGAACTATTTCTGTAGTTGGTGCTTGAAACACTTTTCGCTCGAATGGCTCGAATGCGATGAAATGCACCCCATTGACTGGAGTCTGTGCAAGTTGATGTTACTTTGGGAGGGGGCCAGTAGCGCTTCAATTTTTACTGCTCTGAGGGCTTACGGGAACATCGTTTGGGCAAAGAAAGCTTTCCAAGAAGCCTAAAAAATAGAGGACGAATGTAGAACTCACACCGCGACAAGAATGCTTAATAACGATGTAGGGGTTGATGCCGAACATTTCATCTTCGGTTCCAGTCAAAGAAAAAGGGCGCTCGGTAGTCGCGGTAGTCCATCCAAGAACGTCGTCTTTGATCGCTGAACATCAAACTTCATTACTTCGGAGTACATCTAGAACTGCCCTATTTCAAAATGCACCATCAAACTCCCTCAGTTCGACGAAGACCAAAGTGTCGGGATTGTTTTCACAATGGAAATTTCCTCTCACGTCTACCCGAATATTCTTCGCACTGGTGGCACTAAGCAGAAATCCAAGAAGAATTGCAGCAATCATCTCCTTAAAAAAACTACTCTCCTTCGAAAATGGGAAGGATTCAATGTTCAGGAAAATCTGTTCTGAGATACAAATCCTAGTAATCTTCTTTGTGAGCAATTCGTGAACATTATAAACTCCTGAGTATAACAAAAAAAATCCAAATGAAAACATTCATTTGAAACTTGTTTACACTGCGTTTACCGGTGGTGAGGTGGTCGTGGCTGCGCACTACATTCGAGTATGTTACATTTTTCCTGGGATAGATCTAGTGTAAACAATTGCCATGTTGTCTTTGAGTGGACAAAGCCATGTCTACACCTATTCCGAAACGGACTCTCACCTATGGTTGATATCGACGCATCAATCAGGCCTGGGCAAGAAATGAGCCCATCATGGCTGCGTTTTCTAGCAATAGTGACCGCGTAGGCTCCTTTCAGGCTACTGGTACCACCCCGACTGATTGTGACAATATCTGCAAACAGGGTACAGCATCGTTGTGTGGAACACATGGGGGGTGGAGTCGTACATGGCCGCTCGGGAGGAGATCGTATTTGGTCGTTGTTGGGAGAGGATGGGGGCGTATGTGCGTTCGAAATTTACCGCGTTAGAGAAAAAAATTTTCTCGATTCTTGACATTTCGTTATTTTTCCTGCCGTTTCATGTGAACTATATAGCCCCTTCCTCTGCCACCCACCCCACCTACTCCTCCTCGACGGAAAAATTGCGGGTGAAGAAGGAAAATGTGGGAAAGTTTGGAAATACTGGTAGGAACCTGGGAACTTGTAGGAGCATGGTAGGTAGTGGGGAACAGGGGGGAGGGGTTGCATCGAGACTCTCCTCTAGGTGGGGGAGGGGGTCATACTCACATACCATATTACACATCAAGATGTCGTGCCCTGCCAAAGCACTGTCGCCACTAGGTTCAAATGAAGTGTGCAGTGCGCACTTTTCTCCTCCTGGATATAGGGTCTATTTCCGAGATGTAGGGTCTATTTCCGAGATGTATTCTTCAAGCTAGACTATCAAAAACGCCTCAGCGATGCTCTGACAAGTGCAATATATTTGAAAGTTTATAAACTTCATGTATTTTTGATAAAGATGATTTAAAAAAAATAAATAGTTGAGTATAATAAATTCTGTAGAGAAGAAGAAACAATAGCTTACTCAAAGAGAAAAATTCCGTGGATGAATGAGCTTCTGGGATACCTTATATGCTAGTGCTATTGAAATGTTTTTCGACTGACTCAGAAAACTTTCTATGAGACCAGACAAAGCTTAGTAGTTTCATTTCAAAATATAAAAATTCTATGCCTTCATGATTCATCAGCTCTTTGCGCGCATTCAAAGCTTCTTGCTGCATTCGGTTTAGCAAAGTTCATACTATTAGGTTGCCCCAAAAGTTCGTGGACACTTTCAAACTTTTTTTTCGATTTAAGTTTATTCCAGTGGGAAGCAATTTTGATCAGCTATATATATGTGACCTTCGTTGGCAACTTGTTGCCAACCACCACGCAATGGGTGGTTGCCCTGCTTCCAGAAGCTCCTTGGTTCTGTGATCAGAAAGGCAGCTGGGTCTTTTCTGAGGTGCTATCAAAAATCCTATTTTTTTACTCAGAACATGTCCGGTGTGAGATTAGTGTTGTATTGGTGGTGTTTAGATGGCGATTGGAAAGAGCTAAGTCAGGGCTACACGAGGGCTGTGGTGGAATTCTCCAGCTAAGCTTCGGGATCTCGAGCAGTGTCGTTTTCCAAATGCATGACCCTGAGCTGTGGTGGAGTAGGCAAACATTGCTCCGTTTTGGGACCAAATGGTAGAGATTTTCCACCCCACTTTGCAGTTGATTACAATAGGGCTCCCTGGTTACCACAGCGTTGGAAGGGAGGAATTCCGTTTGAGAGCAGAGAAAGGTACCCCACCATATACACAGCTTCACCGCCCAACTGGATTGATAGGATTGCGCGATCGGTTCTGCCCTCCCTGGGGGATCTAGCCGCTGGCGCTCCCAGGAGTGATTCATCTAGAGGCACCCACTCCATATCCAGTTACAGTGCTGTTCAACCAGACCGTACAGCGGAAGCGGGAGAGAAGTTGTAGAGAGTACCCACATGTGCTCCCGGTAGAGTACTGGTCAACTCATGAGAAAAATTTTGACCGAACTTCAGAGCTTTTCTAAGGGAGCGAGGCCCTCTTTCATTTGCGCTTTGGGACCAGTCAAGTGTAAGGACTAGATAGCAAGCTGATTTGTACGTATTGGTTTTATCAAGGAACACAGTAGATCCAAATCCAAGGCAGGTGGCCCCTTGGACGAAGTTTTTCACCCGGATAGAAGTCACTAAAGCGGGAGCAATTGATTCCAAAGCTGTACTGTGGAAGCTATCATCAAGATCTAAATAAGGGAAATGCCGCTTATGCGCTCCAACTACGTTGTGGCTTGGTAGAGATTCATATAGCGAAGTGTGTCGAAAATGATGAATTTACCGTTTTTCATATGAGAACAGCGACTGCGAGGGACGGTGAAGAAGCTATGGAATGCTTACCTCACACACTTCCCATAGACCACAGATCTCGAAATGGCTGCGGAAAAATCTGATACGAGATTCAACAAGTGTCCACGAACTTTTGGGACAATCTTATATTTACTTGCTGGTAGGAGTGGCTAAATCGATAGCGCTACCTTCACACATTTCATTTTCCCTGCAGACAAGAAAGGGCCAGAAGGCACTGGAACGCAGCCAAATTGCCTGGCCACCAACGATACCGCTCTCAAAGGTAATTGGTGGAAAAGTCTGCATTGGCTTCAATTCAACGCTCCCTCATACGCCTTCTCGTCTACAGTTACAATGGCTGTACTGTGAGGCAGCGTTCAGAATTCGCTACGACAGCGCTTCGGTAGCGCGGTGGATGCGGTCGATGCGCATGCCTTCAGCTGCATCGATCGCGTCCGGTGCACGCCCGAGGCGCTGCCGTAGCGAAGTCTGAACACTGCCTAAGATAACAGCGAGCTGGTCTCTCTTACCGAATAACGCGAAAGGGTATAAACCCTGCCCAAGAGGCTAAAGAGGTACATGAAAGGCTGTGCAGTACCTTTTATTAGCTCTACTTCACCTTTGCTTGTTGAGGCAGCTCCGAAAGAGTGCAGCTCATCTCCATTCCAATTCTTCCGTTCTTTCCTTCTTTCCGTATCCCTGTGCTGGGCACTGAATGACTATTGGTGAATGTTAGTCCCGAGCAGGAAACGTGAAATTGCAGCATGCACATTCAGCTGTTATGACAATCTCATGATTCCATGAAGTTTTTGTTTATTGTGGACGTCACACGCTGTTAAATGCCATAATACGGTCCGGGGAGCAATCGCTCCAGAGACACGATCATGGTGCAATCCCTTTTGCACCCGCTCTATTATTAAATTAAAATCACATGACTCTCTCGAAGGATCATGCACATTTATGTCATTTATCAACACGATATTGTAGCCGTTCTCTAATAGAATAGTATTTCCATCAAATTTACCAACTTCGATTTGGCATATTGAGGACTAACCCCGATGGTTGCTTGCAAAGATAATATGGTGTTACTTTGTGTGAACAGAAACAACACATTGTTTGACATTACTGACAGGGCACGCCATACCGCTGACAGTAATTTTTGCTAAGTGCGACTCCCCCTCCCTTCCCATCTTCCATCAACCCATCATCTTCATAAAATCTGCCAGTTTCCTACCAGTTTATCCCAATTTACCCAATGAATTTCCAAGTTTATTTCACAAAAATTGCTGTCGTGCAACAAAAAAAAATGCCGTCGTGCAAGGGAAGAGGGAAGTGGTAGCACTAGAAGGAGTGCCAACTTCAAATATAAATATACAGTAAATGTACAGGACTTTGACTGCGCCCCGTCCACTCTCAGAAGGGGGCGTGGAGAAATCACACATCAAAAAACTGCTCCGGCCAAATACTACTCCCCGCAGAGGACTTCGCACCGTACGATGTGCCCTGATTACTGATAGGTCAGACTAGTCGCTCAGGTACCACGCTTGGACTATAATGCGCGATGGAGGAAGGGGGATGGGAGGGTAGACACCTCTGATCAACTGCCAGGTCGGGCCTGGAACGCGAAGAACAGAAAGAAACAGAAAGAAATTCCACCGTGCCAAATGCCACGCCACACTCCATTGAAAAATAATAGCGATGACGTTTTCTGGATGAGCCTTATACCATCAGATAAGTTAGATGATATCTGCCTCTTTGAGAGGGCTTACACACAGAGGGAGGTCACCGTGAACCAACTAATAATCCAAATGCGCTTCCAAGTGCTTCCGTCATTCTGCTTAGAAGCTGAGATGCATGGCGCACTTCCAAGCAACTCAAAGAGCCCAGTAAATTACTATCATCTGCAAGGGTTTACATAGGGTGGATTATTTTTTGTTTCTTAACACTTTTAAAAAGGGAGATCCTCTTACATTTCAACCCCTTCGTATCCCGTTATACCAAGGGTCGATTTAGCCGCATGGAATCCTTCTCCTTGGTGAAAAAAAAACGGACTGGAATTGTTCCACTAGATGCTATTAGCAGAGGTTTTTCAATATCCGGCAGCGATCGATCTTTCTCGTCAAGGCATCATGGCGATGAAGAGAGTTGGTTACTGAGCATGACTCCCGTGCAGCACTGGCCCATGTTCTACACTTATCAACCTCATCGTAAAACCTTACCCGGCCCCCTGCACTTTTCGTTTACCTCCAATTTCGCAGAAAAAAGGTAGTTCTTCGAGAGGGGCACGAGCACCGCGAAGACATAGGAGAAGCCTTTTGCATTGACACCATAACACTTCCAGTCGGCTCAAAGGCTTAAGTTTGCTTCTGGAACACATTTTCGTCAAAACGATCACTTGATTTGGCATCGACTGATCGCACTTCTTTAATGCGCCATGCATCCGTCCACGCCAAGATGGTGGCAAGGTGTACGTTCCACGTAATGCTCGCCTGTGCAGTTGGAATGTATTTGTAGGTGAACTGCACTATATT